GACGTCCAACCTGCCTTCTTTGCTGAATTTACTACTATCTAAGCGACGTTTACAGGAGTCAAATCCCGGACCACCTGCGTTACTCGCAAGCATTTTGCCATCGAAACACTGGAGCACTAATGGTGCAGGTAGTGGGGTTCGAACCCGTGACTTACACTGTTTGGTAGTCGAACATGTGGATCATTGGGCCACTGCTCACACAGTCTAACCTGTATCTATCCCTAAACCTGAGGAATTTATAAAACTATGTAAGAAGCATCAAACACTGCCTAACGAGGAAGGCAATAGGTCGGCGTGTATGGAACACGTCCTAGACACCCGAACCGATGTAACTGCTTCCAAATATGATTGACTGACCTGTCCTCCTTTGTTATCTCTAACACTGTACACTTAACCTCAGTATTACAGTATTATACCACTTGACATCATGAGAAATATAAAGCAAACATATGGTGTAGTCAAAGACAGTTAGACAGTATTTTCTTATATCTTTCACTTTCAATGGCCATGTCTCAATTACAGCCACCATCGAATATCACCGGACTTAGTTAGTAGGTAGCCGCCCAGCCTAGTGAAAGGACGAATGTGAGAGTCTGACGCCTACGACCGGATTGGTTGATAAATATGCAGGCCTACCTATCTAAGGGGGCTGGAAAACTTTGATTATTCCAAACCTATGGTATCGTACATGGGCTACAGATTCCGAGCAGATGGCATGTTGTTTGGTCATACTGCTCCATTGCCCCACTGTCTTGTGGGCAGTTTGACTTCAATTTGTGGGTCACAAATTGATTCGTTTTTCCCCAGAATTTTTCGTTGCTAATTATTTCTGACCATTTAGTACTCACTATGGAGCCAACGTAGACAGTTGTTTATAAAAGTTTTCAGCTGGCTGTTTGAAATGCTACTCGTGATGCTCTGGGCAAGTTTCTGAGCCTTATAGAATTGACTTTACACTGATATTAAACAAATTTTTGTTCCTTATTCTGTGAAGTGCGGGAAATTTCCAAACTGACTTCAGAAAGGTGAAGGTCCTGCGATACTTCAGCGGCCTGCTTGAATCTTGCGCTACCGAAATTTATTATTATTATTATCTCACCTATCTCATTCTGATTTTGACTTCCTCTCTGTGCGAGCTGCCCATAGTTGGAAAGCATGCTGCCTAGATGGGTGAATGAAGTAACCCCTTTCAAATGTATTCTGATGATAGTGATTGGTGATTGTTGTGGTTGATTGGTTATCTTTATCACTTCCGTCTTCTCTGTGTTTACTTGAAGTCCTATGTTGGCTGCTTCTTTTGCCAAATTGTTGGATTTTGTCTGTAAGTTGATTTACTATACTGCATGGAAATACTTAGTGTTGCTTTGTTAGCATCCCGGTTCCTAGGACGAAATGCGCATCCTAATGGATTCCACACTGCTAATATCCACCATCAACCAAAAAATAATAATCATAATCCTCAGACATCTTTGAAAAGTTCGTTCTAGAAGACATTGACATTTCAACACATGAACAGTCAATATTTCAGTCCAGCATAATCCATCAATAAATCCATACTGAAAACAAAAAATTAACCTCAAAGCGACCATCTTGGAGTGTGTGCTACTGACAAAATATATAGGTAGTATATATATACTATCTATAGGTATATTGAATCGTGGCGATAGAAGGACGGATTCAATAGCGAAAGGACGGTGCTTGTAAAGCATCATGGATAACTGAAAAGGAGGAAGTCCAATTACTGAAGATATGTGCAAACTGTGATTCTAATACAGGGTAGATTTACTTTGCCTACAGATCTGTATATCGAGTTGCCAACAAAGAATTCCACCGCCATATACTCTTGTGTTCTACCGTTAAAGTCTTCTCACGTATTGGTCATTATAAATGTTACGAAAATGTCGAATAATTATGCGATCAAAGTGTCACTTTATTTGCTAGTTAGCCTAAAGAGGCATTGAAAAACCGTGAAGTTTATCTTAAAAGGCGAAGAAATCTTATGTAGTAATAAAAGGTCTATTGGTTTTATCGTCTTATAAAGTTGTACTATAATTGGATTGTGTTTTTGGGTTGTTTTTTTTTGTAAAACTATAAAATAATTTTTATTTTACCTGTAAAACACCTAAACTTTGTCTTTTGTTTCTTTTATTCTAATGGCATTTTCGTATATTTGGTTTTTTTTTGTATTATCGTGCGATTTTGTTATTACACATATGCCCTATAGTTCATTTAGAACAAGTTCACATTTCACAGTCATATTGTCGTTGATTGTAGGGATGTTCTGACTGATTAACTGGCATCTTTTTTCACCTGAAGGTTATGAAAAGGTTAACTGTCTTTGAACATAAGTGTTTACTTTCTATATTCCTTGTTAGGTGGTACGCCAGGGCAGTAATATTCAAGTTAGGCATTGAATGTTAGGTGGTAAAGACAGCAAGTCAGTCATTGGGGTTGTGAAACGACTGTATCGAATGTAATATGGCTAAGACAAGACGAGCTACGTTTGGCTAGCCATTGCCTTCCTCACCGCGGAATGTTAGCCTGTAACAACGGAAGACAACTGCCAGGCATCAGATCGTTTATTTAGGAAATCAACACATATATTTCAGCTAGCAGGTTTCACTTTCCTCTGTGTGTGTGTGCAGACTGACTGACAGATTTTCAACATACAATTTTACACAGATATGCAGCAGTGCTTGAGGTAGTCACACACCATGTAGCACACAAAAGTAGAGAAAAGAAGGGGAAGAAATTCAAAGGAACCTTAATGAGCAGCAGTCATGAGGATCCCAACAGCTTAGTGTACATCTCCGTTTTTGGAGTTGACAGACTGCCTCTAGGTTTTTGATGTTACCTTCCTTAACTCTTTTTCAACTCACTTCTATGTCAGTTAACATTTTTCAGTAAGGAAGGCGATTTCTGAGGATTCATAACACGTGTTCCTATCCATCTTAATCACTGTAGCTGCTGACATGTAGTTAGGTTTGAAAAGAGTTTGGAATAGTCAGAGCAAAACCTAGAATCATTCTATAAAGTCTTCAACTGCTAATTTGATCAATCTAGGGAGATGTGTACAGTGGCTGGTTGGTGGGGGATTGTCGGATGCTAAGAAGCAAAGACTTGAGACTGTTGTGTATATTCTGTGATGCAGTGATTGTAATCTCATATATCCATTAAATCCTTATGTTCTTCTTATGTTTCTATTCTTTCTCACATTTCTGCTTGCTATGGTTTTTTTTCTTGAATCTCTTTTCCTCTGCCTTTATATGCTGCTTGGAGTGTAGCAATATGAACTTGTACTGCGTTTCTATACAAAGTTTTATGTTGAAAACTTAGTCGGTCAATAGAATACTGGGGCATTTTCCCCTTTACTATTGAACTGATTTTATGGGAGGAACCTAAATCATCAGCAGTAATTGCGTACAAGGGAGTAACCTCGGAAGCCTTACACAGAATTCCTAACAAGTCAGGAATAAAAGTGGCTCGCATTCAAACCAACTACAAACTCAATGAGAAACAAGCTTTGTCGGTTAAAGGACTTGCCTGTTGAGCCTTTAAAACAAAATAATTTAGTTTATCTATTGCCCTGCTGGAATGACTGTCAAGTCAAATACATAGATCAAAGTAGTAGAACAGAGGCAGTCAGACTAGCCGAGCATAAAAACCTAGCAACACATAGATTAGTTTGCCCGAATAAGATAAGAAATCTAGAGAATAGTTCAGCTCTACCACTAACTGCATGCGATCACACAACCATTCAACAGGATGGGATAGAATGACGGTTTTGAAATCGAATGCCACAGGTTGGAGGGAGAGATTGATAACAGAAGTCTTGTTAATCGAATCAACTGCAAATACATGTAATAGGAATGATTCAATACCTGTCCCAGATATCTGGAAAATTCTGCTACCCTTAGAACAAATAGGAATGCATAAAGAAAACTATAAAACTTAGGTTTCGTGGTCGTATGATGATAATTTGATAAGATTATGAACAATAAATTCTGTTCGAAACTGTGTCATCCAGTAAATAATACTGTTTCATTGTCATATATCTAATAAACAAACTAATATGGAATATCAAGGGCGTTGACTATTCAACCACTTGGGATGGAATCCTGTGAACCCTGAATTTTAACTTGATCAACTGCTGGTGGCCTAACGCTATTCTCACCAGTGCTTTTGACGAAAACCCGCTTTACTCGTGTGACATGGTGGACTCCATTGGTCAGGATTTCCCACGACAGCTTCAGGAAATTCATCCAGTGTGTACCATAAACTAGTTTGTATAGTTCAAAGTGTTCATGTGATACTCTGAGAATATGTGATCATACATTATTCATCGTTTATCTTTCGGGATTTTTTTGTGTTGTTGTTGTGTTTTCAGTTTTTAGTTAGATCGTGATCTGATCGACTGACTGACATCAGATGGAGTACGAATGAAAATCTTTAATGGAGCACTTGACAGAACCTTTAGATTACGGGGCGAGTTCGTTGCTCATTCAGCCGATTGGATGAAATCTAATGGCCAGCCTATAAATTCTAACTTCCCCCAATTCATTTTTAGCACCAACACTCCCCAGACCCGACCTGGTGTGCACCACCAGTGGTGGCGAATTGGCAGAATTCACGGGCCAACAAGTGCCTCTATGAAATGGTGACCGAACTCGCCTCGTAACCAATATGCCTAGGGTCATGTTTGGGTACTGCTGGAGGTTACCAAAGCAAGTACTCCCTAGTTTTTAGTGGTTCTCTAACTGTTATCAATCTGTGATCAAACTTGAAATCCTTACAAAATTAAACTTGAAAGTAAACTCATTGAAAACAGGAGAATATCTTCAATGAATCACTTGGTTTCAACATTTCTGCATGTCCTCTAGTAAGAATTTTTTATTGTTTTATATTATCAGTATTTGTTTACATTTTCCCTGTTTTTGTTTCCCGATATGATTCAACTAATATGATATTCTTTTTCGCCCAATATCACTCTTTCTTCCTAGGGAAATGATATCACGTATAGATCAAACAGAATTCGATGGATTTGAATATGTCAATCCTTTGTTAATGTCTTTGGATGAACAAGTATAAGTGATGAAGAAGTGAAGGACAAAATGTCGAATCTGTGTTTTTTCCTGCTGTTCGTGTGCTTATTGCTCAATGATGTGTGTGTGTGTGCCTCTCATTAAACCTACTTACCACTTCTGTTGTTATGCCGACCTTATCCAAACACCCGCGTGTTTAACATCAGTCAGTTGACAGGTTGTTTTCATAGAGGCATTACACGCACACGCATGCATTCCTAATATATATATATTTTTGTTTTATTTTATTTCTTCCGCCTGTTTTTTTTTAATGTTTTTTTACGGTGGTTTCACCATGCCTACTTTGTTCAGATTAGCACAATTATGTATTTGAATGACAAACGGAGGGAAAGCCAAAGAGAATGTTAATTAAGTAACCAATCAACACATATCATCAAAATATCGTTTTTATCCTCCCTTGTATCCTCTTTTTTCTCAAACTCTCCCATTTGTCTTTTAAAGTTCACATTTTTATCTTTTTATTATATATTTTGATGACAATGACGTGAACAGATCGCCTTCTCTTTCTACATGTTAATTTTATATTATGAACCAGCGATAATTAAGCTGTGTTTTCAAGGTCACTCGCACTTATCATCCGTCTGTCTGTCAACCGATGAGCCTACCTAATTGAAATTTCCCCCTCTTCGCATTGGTTGTCTTAATATCATCAACCAATAATAATCATTGTGTCAAAGTCACCTTCATCGGTTACCTGTGTTTGTCTGACTGTCTATTTCATCGATATTCCTGATAGGACCACATAAAAGTTTTTTCTTTTCTTTTAATGATCTTGGCACCTAAAGAAATATATATATATAAGACCAGCAGGATTACTAACTGACTAGGTTTAGGTTATTTGTTACTCTGCTTATTATCTTAATATGTGGGTTTTGTAATTTTGAGAAGCTCATAAGTGTAGGGAAAAGTTTAGTGTGATTTTCTTTTATTATCCGCAGCAATCGAAGCATCCATAAATCTACACCTGTTTATCTATCTATCTATCTATTTAACCACCAGGTGGGGATGGTAGACAAAGTGAAGTAAAAAATCATGCTGCCGACTTTTTTTTTCCTTTGTTTATTCTGATTTTAAATCTAGAATTTATCTTCACTTGTTATGTAATCCTCCGACTTCTACTTCCACTCCTCATAATCTCACAATTGCTACTAGTACACTCACGCACACATGCATACACACACCTGCTGTGGCTAAATATCAAAACTTTTCGCCTAACCAACCAATATTAATATCTGTGCCTTTTTTAAAAAATAATATACAAAAGCAAACTTCTTTTCATTCCTTCTGCGCGCAATCCTAAGTGGAAAAACTGGCTTATATCATCAATGTTATTATTTTAATAATAGTAATAATAATATTTTTTTTCTAACGAAAGAATTTTCCAATTTCCTTTTCTACTCATAGTACTGCTATCATTACAATTATTATTTTTAAAAAGCATATCCGTAATTGTGTTTGCTTTTTGTTCTTCGACTACTTCTTATGGTTCTGTTGGGCTCAAGTATTCGACTTCCAACAAATGAGTCTAAGAAGTAGGCAGAGGGAGCGTTTCAGTTAAAAAATAACTGCCTAGGAGCTTTATATGGAGTGTATATGTGTGTGTGCCAGGTCGGTTAATAATTACCGGCTGCCTACATATTGTGAAATTTGTTTGCTTCTTAAAGTACTCCTGAAACAGAAGTGTAGTATTAGTGCTGCCGTGACCGCAGGGCACAGGGTACTTAATTTCTTGTAGCCAGTCATTTACCCATATACTTCTGAAGTATGTTTGGAATTATGCCCATGTCAACGTCTTACCGTTTTGAGTTTTTAGGATGTACAGTTTTCTGGGTCTATTTTTCCTAACCTCCACCCCTCTTTTATGAGCAGGGAGGCAATATCACTGAGGGAAACACCTTGTCACTCTTACATCCTTATTCTGTAACGGTACAACTTCGCTTTCAGATTCCCAGCTATAGGGTTGATGACTTCCACTATGATAGTAACTGCTTTTATTCTAACCTCTATCTAGATGATCTTTGTGGAATGGTAGGACCTGCAGCAACATTGGTTACAGTCAGCGTAGCTCGTTGACGGTCATTGTAATATACAAACCCGACCACCAGCACCAAGTTAAGATATCGTCCCTTATCGATTGGGAAACAATCGGGTAGTATTTCAAAAGATTGTGTGTAAAAATTCGATTTGTTTCAAGTTTGATGATGCTTTGAAATCAGTTAGAGAACCATTGAAAACTGAGGAATACTATACAGCTGTTCCGTCCTCGTTTGAGACTGATTTGCACTCACCGAGTTTCTAACCCAGTACTTACCCTGACTCAATAGCCCATGAAAAACAGTCCTGATAGGCGTTAGTGCAGAATTTTATCAACCCCCTACGCCTACTGGTTCAATATTAAAATGACATGACCAGTCAAAAAGGATAAGCAGCAAGGAACTGTGACGGACAACTAATCAGCGAATATGCAGAAAGGAGACGGGTGGAATTAGGCACAAACTGAGCTGATCACTCATTTTCTCACGACCAATATTGGGGACATAAACATTGACGTAAATTACTGTCCATCAATTTTGGCTAAGAGCCAGCTCTCACCGCATATTGACTGACGAAATTTATTTTATTTTTGTTCACATAATTGACTAAATATAGCTGAATTGAACATACGTCACGACAATGAACGTTGTAAAATTCTTCAAATAGTTCACACAAAGGAAGCGAATATTTATAGGATAAGTGTAGAGAGAACAGTAATAAAGCAACCGCAACCTCTTCCAAATAACCATCAATATTCACATCACAAAATCAGTAGACGTAAGGCTGGTGTATTTGAACGTAAAACGTTTCAATCCCAAAAAAATCTGCAAAACGAAGACAAAGAACTGACTCATAATATATATATATATAAACCTGTCAAAGAATTATCGATGGACTGATTGCCATATGATATGCAGGAGGGTTTTTTGACTTCTGCTGATGAATAATCCTAATGAGGAAGATGAAATGTGAATAAAGGACTTATAAAGAAGCAAAGGTATATAATTTTCAGGCACGGGATGAGTTTTCTTCATCATCGGTGTGTGGGAATGAGTATGAATACTACAGGAATACAATGACACCGAGAAATCAAGTATGCTGAACGTGTGTGTGTGAGTTGCTGAGTGCGAGGGATGGATGACAGACAAGAAATATAATCATACCATCCTCATTGCTTACCTTATTTACCTCTTAGCCTTATGATTGGCTTTTGCGAATAGCTGAATTTACACGAAGTTTCTGTAACTTGCCTTCATAAATATATCAGTGTGCATAGAGTTTATATGTATTAGTTTTGCAATTGTCTGATCATTCTGTTCTTTCCACTAGATTTTGATGAGTTTATTTTAATGTTTTCGTTGTCATTTTCATATTTCATTCCGGTTTCCGTTTTATGCGATAAATGGCTTGGTGAATGCAATTTAAGTTTAAATTATATTTGGTCACCTTACACAGTCCTATGTCTATTGCATCATTATTTATGTTGACCTTTGTTTAATTTTGGTCTTTCATTATCCTGAGCTAACCAAACCCAAATCTCTCTAAATATTCTGTCAAATGTTATTACTCTTGGTTTTTAATGAATACAATGCTAGTCTACTGGGTCCTCTTGGCTTACTTTGACTATGAGCCTGTTTTATGTTCATCGATGCTGTGTTCGCCCTCTGTGGGTTTTCTATGTTTTGCCTTCGCCTGACAGAGAGACCTATGTGTGCATCTTTAATTTTCTCTCCTCGTTCACAGTCAACGTGAGACTTGAATACACACACACAAATATGTGACTGATTACTCATATGATGAGTGAAATTTTCTCGGGGTTGGAGAGTGAGGAATTAGGGTTAAATTCGCTGTAATTTAAGGATATTTATGAGGAAACGTCGCATCTCACCAATGTTTCCCATTTCAGATACTATTCGCTTAAGTTTAGGACCAGATGGAGAAGACAACTTGGACTAGGAAAAGCAAAAATTTATTGCTTCAGAAATTACAGCTAATTACAAAGTTATTTCATTTAGCAAATATATAAAATTTTAATGAGGATTTAATAACGAACCAACATGATTTCAATACCACTAATAAAAACATCAGAGAGCACACTGGACAGCTGCTTCATCCTAGTGTAGGACTTTTAAACAGTACACGCCCACGCCTCCAAAAAGTGTCGAACCTGAGGCCATCAGCTTATGAAACCAAGCTCCAATTCATAGATTGAAGTTGTCAATCTGTACTAATGACCATTCATGATCAGCAAGGTTAATGCCTCCAAGGTTAAGTGGATAGTCGTTGAAGTCATTGACTAAATATTATTATTATTATTGTATCCTTTAGTTCCTAGAGGAACATAGGGCTTCAGCTGCGCACCTCCATTGACTTCGGTTTTCTGACAACTTTTTCACCCTGCTCCAGGTCTGTCCACATGCTTTCATCTCCTCCTCGCATGACCTCCTCCAAGTCACCCTTGGACGACCAACTCGCCGCCTCCCTTTCGGGTTCCACTCGAGGGCTTGTCTAGTGATGTCACTTGATGGTTTCCTCAGCGTATGGCCAATCCATCTCCATTTCTTTCTGCCTATTTGTTTCACAATCGGTTCCTGATTGGTTCGCTCCCAGAGATCCCTGTTGCTGATCTTTTCTGGCCATCTGATCTTGAGTATTGAGCGGAGACAGTTGTTAATGAAGGTTTGAAGTTTGTTTGAGATGCTCTTTATGACTCGCCAAGTCTCTGATCCGTATAGTAGCACTGACTTCACATTGGAGTTGAAAATCCGGATCTTATTTTTGATGCTGATTGCTGTTGACCTCCACACAGATTTGAGAGTAATGAAAGCTTGTCTTGCTTTTCCGATTCTGGCTTTGATGTCCTCGTCAGTTCCGCCTGTAGTTGAGACGATGCTTCCCAGGTAGGTGAAGGAGGTTGTTTCTTTCAGGTTCTTCCCATTTATGCTTATTGTG